AGGAGCAAGAACGGTTTTAAAACATGCTATTAAGAAAAAAGCAGTAATAACAGAAGAAAGAAGCGCCTTTAGAGCATATGCCAACGCCTACACAATTTCAAACATTCATTTAAAAGAGTTGAACGGATTGACTTATTTTAATTATCAATTTGACAAACTTAATGAATACTTGAAAGAGAATAGAGGAATGAAACTTAATGCTACAATAAATATGAAAGTTATGAACTTATTTGATGAGGAGAGAAACGTAACAGTTAGGACAAGGTCGTACACTATTGTAAATGAAGAGGATTTAAGGAATGCTTTGAAAAGAATGAGACCTGATGTTGAAACAAGAATTTTAGATATGGCTTTGTATCAGTCAGGATTAATAATTAGCAATATTAATAATATTCATATCATGTATAATAAATATAATCCGACTAGAGCTGGCAAATATATTGAACTTCCAGAATGGATTAAAAAGAAAAAGGCATGTATCAATATTAAAAATCAAGATGACAAGTGTTTTAAATATTCTATTGAGTGTGGATATTGTAAAATTTGTGATAAAGCACACCCTGAAAAGATGTTTCATTACAAGAAGATAGAAAGTGATTTGATTTTTGATGGTGTGAGTTTTCCTGCTAATAATAATGATATAGATATATTTGAAGAAAATAATAAATCAATATCCATTAATGTTTATGAAATTGATGATAATGAACAAATTGTTATTAGTAGAAAATTGAAAAATAAAGATGCTTCTTGTCATCTTGATTTGTTGAGAGTTGATGAGGAGGATTGCAGTCATTATGTGTATATAAAAAGTTTGAGCAGACTTATTAATAATCAAAAAAGTAATCATAATGGTAAGTCCTATTTTTGTAAATATTGTAATCATGGATTTAGAAATGAAGAATTATTAAATAAACATTATGATAGTGGATGCATGGAAGTTGAAGGACAACAAATAGTAATGCCTAAGCCTTATGAGAAAGTGAGTTTTAAGCATCACTTCAAAAAGTTAAGATGTCCTTTTGTTGTATATGCTGATTTTGAATGTTTGACAGAGGAACTGAAAAAACCTGATGAAGATGAAGATAAAAACACTTTTTCTTATCAAGAGCATAAACCATGTGGTTTTATGCTTAATATGGTTAATGCTGTTGATAATACAAATTATGAATTTATGTATCGTGGTAAAGATGCTGTTGATGTGTTTTGTCAAAAACTTAATGAGATTAGGGCAGAAGTAAAGGAGAAGATGGGAGAAAACGAAAAAATAGACATGACTGATGAAGACAAAGAAGATTTTAAAAATGCTAAAAACTGCTTTATTTGTGGGGATAAGTTTAGAATGAACTATAAGAATGCCAAGGAAGCAGAGAAATATAGAAAAGTTAGAGACCATTGTCATTTTACAGGTAAGTATAGAGGTTGTGCTCATAATGTTTGCAATCTTAATTTTTGTAATAGATATTTTAAAATTCCAGTATTCTTTCATAACATGAAAAATTATGACGGTCATTTAATTATTCAAAATGCTGATAAATTAAGTAACAACAATAAAATAGGTGTCATCGCTCAGAACAGTGAAAAATTTATTAATATCAGTTTTGAAAGTTTGAGTGTTAAAGACACTTTCGGGTTTTTAACTGCTTCATTAGATAAGTTAGTTTCAATGAGTAAGTATGATAATACAGATGAAGAAGATAAAAGTAAATGGTTATTGCGTGAAGACTGGAAAGATAATTTTAGGTTCAGTAGTAAAAATGATTTGATTAAGAGTGAGAAATGTCTAGATTTATTAACTGATAAAGGCGTTTATCCTTATGACTACATGAATTCATTTGATAAATTTGATGATGAGCAATTACCGAGTAAGGATGATTTTTATAGTCAGTTGAGTGAAGAAGGTATAAGTGTTAACGACTATGAAAGGGCAAAAATTATATGGAAGCATTTCGACATTAAGAATATGGGTGAATACCATGATTTATATTTGAAAACTGATGTATTATTATTGACTGACATTTTCGAAAATTTTAGAGATGTATGTATGAAATATTATGGATTGGACCCTGCTTATTATTATACATTGCCTAACTTTGCTTTTGATGCTATGCTTAAAATGACTGGTGTAGAGATTGATTTAATATATGACCAAGAAATGTATGAAATGATAGAAGCGGGACTTAGAGGCGGGATGTGTATGGTTTCTACTAAAAAAGTTGAAGCAAATAATAAATACATGGGAGAAGAATATGATAAAAATAAAGAAAGTAGTTATATTAACTATTTTGATGCTAATAATTTGTACGGGTTAAGCATGATACAAAAACTGCCATATAAAAATCTAAAATGGGATGATACATTAAAAGAAGAAGACATTATTAATTATAAGAATAATAATATTGGATATATTCTAGAAGTGGATTTAGAATATCCTAAAGAATTACACGATTTACACAATGACTATCCGATGGCACCTGAGGTTATGAATGTTAAAGCCGACATGCTGTCAGATAAACAAATTGAAATTTATGAATTTTTAAATCATAAAAAACCTACGGATGAGAAAACAAATAAATTAGTATTGAATTTAAATGATAAAGAAAAATATGTAATCCATATAAGAACCTTACAATTTTATTTGAAGCAAGGGTTAAAACTTAAGAAAATTCATAGAGCAATTAAATTTGAACAAAAAGAAGTTTTAAAACCTTACATTGAGTTTAACACTGAGAAGAGGAAGAATGCTAGAAATGATTTTGAGAAAGATGTTTACAAATTGATGAACAATGCCATATTTGGAAAAACAATGGAGGATAAGCGAAAACATTTAGACTTTGAAGTTGTGAGTGATGAAACTAGATATATGAAGTGTGTAAGTAATCCTAACTTCAAACATAGTCATATCATTAATGAAAATTTGGTTGGAGTTGAAAAGCAAAAAACAAAGTTGAAACTAGACAAACCTATATTTATTGGGATGAGTATTTTAGATTTGAGTAAGCAACACATGTATAAATTTTATTATGACGTTATGAAGCCTAAATATGGAGATAATATTAAAATGGTATATACTGATACTGATAGTTTTGTATTTCATACTAAAACCAATGACATTTATGAAGACCTTAATACAATTAAAAAAGAATTAGATTTTTCAGATTATCCTAAGGAACATAAATGTTATGATGATAATAACAAGAAAGTATTAGGTAAATTTAAGGATGAATTAAAAAGTAAAATAATAACAGGGTTTATAGCCCTTCGTCCTAAATGCTATGCTTACTCAGTTTATGGTGATGATAAAAAATATAAGAAATGTAAGGGCATAGCAAAAGGCACAGTAAGACGTCAAATGAAATATGAAGAGTTTGAGACGGTTTTAAAAACTAATGAGGTTATACATAAGTCATTTAATAGTATTAGAAGTAAAAACCACAGAATTTTTAGTATAACAACTAAAAAAATTGCTCTTAGTAGTTATGAAAACAAAAAATATTGGATAGATAGTATAAACTCACTTGCTTACGGCCATTATAAAATAGATTCTTTGAAAACGACTTAAAGAAATATTGACTTAATATATTATAATAGAAATGGTTGAATTTACTAAAAAAGAGCAAGAAGAAATTATTAATGACTTTTTGAATAAAATAAAAGTTAATGACATTATCAGTAGTTGTAAATGTAAACTAATAAATGAAAAAACTGGACTAACTAAGTTAAATTTACCTAATCCAATTGTTAAAAACATTTGTGATTTTAATTATGTTGAATGCGAGAAATGTTTTTTATTAAGAAATGCAAAGCAAGTTTTACATAAAAGTAATTTACATTCAACATTGAGACAATGTATTTATGATAAATACAAATTGAAATTTGAAGAAAATACATTTCTAAATGATGACTCATCATTAAGAACATATTGTTTTATAAAGTTAAATACATTTCCTACATATGAAAAAGTGAAAAAATATATACTGCAAGATAACGAAACATATATTTTAAAATTTTATAATGATATTAAATATTACTACGAACAATCATATGAAGTTAGTTATGGTGGCAAAACTGGAACAACAAGACCAATTGAAGAATTTAATAATAAAATGATATTTAAATTTATTGATGAGTATGATTTATCAAATAATAAAATTGAAAATGATTGCAAGGAAACATTTTTAAACTACATAAAACAAAGAAACCAAGAATTGAAAATCATAATTGATAAAATATGTGATTATATTAAGGATGAACAGAAGAACAATATAATAGGTAAATTAATGTATGGTGATGTGATAAATGATATTAAAAGTGTTTTAGGAAACTGGAGCATAGGTTTTTGCATTTATGATTTTGCTGATAGAAAATATCCATTTAAAAATAATAAACAGAACTTTAAACAAATACCAAAGATTACAAAGGAATATTTAAATACTAATGACTTTGATTAAAACCATACTATGATTATCACATGTAAAATATTATATGTTATAATTGTAATATATTTATCGTTTGTAAAGATTGAATTATTATAATTTGCTTATCTCTTTCAAAGTGCGTTGTTTAGACTTGGCATGCTTCTTCAATTTTTTCGTGCTTTGGCTGTTTGTTTTTGTTTTGTTTGATACTCTTGTGATATTTTTTGTTGGTATGTTGCTTTGTTTTTTGTTGATGTGTGTTTTTGAGTTTGGGTTCTTTGATGATTTAGAGTGTTGCTGTTTTGTTGGTATGCTTGTTTGAATTATTTAATGTTGTATGCTGTGATTAAATATTTTTGTTGCTGGTTGTGATTATTTATTTTGTTTGCTTGTTGTTCTGGATTTTGTTTTCTGTTTGTTGTGTTGCTGTTGGAAAAAAATAGTAGAAAGAATAATTCTTTGAATTCTCCTTTACTATTTTTTCCCCCTCCCCCCCCTCCCCCCGCTCCTTGAGATATACGTTCCCAGGCTTGCCAACAAAAGCTTTCTGCAATCTTGATTCCAATTTTAAAACAGGCAAGGAGCTTCAAGAGCTCGCGAAGGTCGTACCCGAGGCACATGATATCTTCAGGTCTGCCACGAAACAGCTCGTGCAAGATTGCCTCCAGTGACTCGCAATGCACAGGTCGTACTGGTGAGACCCCGAAGATCGGCTTGAGAATCCAGACAAACTCCTGCTTTGCGAATTAATTGGGTGTCGGCGTGTAGAAGTATGGTGCTCGGTCGAAACACACATGAATCACATGAAGTACCGTCAAAATTACTTCTGTTGAGTTTAGTATTCGGTGTTTCATTGATATTGTGACAAGCCTTCCCAAACGGCACCTAAAGATAGGTGCCGTTTGAGAGACCGCGAGACAGCCATACACCACCAGCATCACTAGCATCACCCTCAGCATCGCCAGAAACACCTCCCATGCACCACCAACATCACCAGCAACACCCTCAGCATTGCCAGCAACACCTGCTTTGACAAGCCTTCCCAAACGGCACCTAAAGATAGGTGCCGTTTGAAAACGCACAAAACCGTGGCAAACGATAGGGGACAAGCTGCGAAAACGATAGCGAACTCTCAAACTAAGTAGCAAAACGGCCGCAAATAAGTAATTTCGACCGTGCCTCACATGGGAGCTCACTAATCCCGCAGCCCTGCAAGCCGGGGCAATGTGTTTTTTTTTCTGGGGTCTAGTTGGCGATCATTCCATATCAACTGCGCGTGTATCTTGACCGTTAGCCATTTTGGCATGTCACACCCGTCCTTGAGGCGCTTCTTTCCGCACGAAGCTTTGCCTAGCCGAGCCAACCAAGTTGTATCACTCGAAAAAGGCCCCACGTGTGGAACACACAACGACCATTGCGCATGCACGAGACTCCTTCGCTGAACCTGTAGAAAATCTCCGGCAACTCTTTCCGCTGCACTTCTGCGGGCACCACGACTTGACTGACCACCGCTTGCAGCTGCGTCAGGCTGAGCTTCTGCTCGCTGGTGCCCGCTGGCCGGGGCATGGCGCGCTGAGGAGCGGTCTGCGGGCTGTTCGCTTTGCACGTGTTCGCCTTTGCGTGTCGCACGCCCGTTTTCCCTTTAAACTGTTTTGCCTTTCATGCATATCTCACACGAGCCGTGCAGCTGCATATGGAGCATGCATCACACCACGTCCAATGTTCAAACCTCTATATGGCCAAGTCCCCTGGTTGTTCGCGCACCGCCTTTGAAGACCGTGTGCCTTTGAGCAATCCAGACTTGCTGCACATGAACTAGTTTGCTTTAAAGCTGTTGACGCCAAAAAAAAGCAGGCGGCCCCTAGCTGCTCCATTAGACTTCAGCCAGTGTTGGGAAGATTGTGAGAACCACGTGTCCTAAATCCCTGGCTTGCTCTGGCTGTACTTGTGAAACCCCAAAATTGTTGTCGAAAGGTCGCACCAAAAGTCACCGATTCCACGTATTTAAATTGGGGAGTTTTGCCCACGATCGATGCCGGTCCTGCGATCGCCCTGCGACGTTTGCTGACGCCCATTGCCAGGAGCCCGCCAGATCCGCCATCGCGAGTGAAAAAGCACCCGCTGCCACCGTGGGATGGTAGGTGTCTCACTTGTGTATGCGGGTTTATAGACTGCTTGTTTTGAGGGGTCAGACTTCTCCCAGTTTTCTACTTAAAGACTTGCTGGGATCCCGAAACCAATTTCGAATAACAGTAACCTTAGGGAAAACACTGGTCCTGGTGTTGTTGTTTGAAAAAACAAAAAAACACATGGCAGCCGCGTGACTCCTACGGAGAAACACATTTTGGGACAAACCATGAGCAAGTGTGAGCAGTGTGAAACTTGGCCTGCAAATGCACCGTTCTGAAACAAACGCTTCACCAGAGCTGATGTTTCACAACCCACGTGTGAAACGAATTCTCCGCAACTCCGCTTGCCTATTGCGCCCCAATCTGTGACTAAGAAACCACCTGTTTACTGTCCCCGGTTCCTACTCTAAATCATAAAAAGAATGCGGAGACGATCGCTCCAACGGAGAGGCCCAAAACAAAGGTCAAGACCCCGCCTGGTTGCAAAGAACGAAGGGTGCAGTTTAATTCAAGACCACGCCTGCCAACATAGAAGCGTGAAATTCAACAGAATGGCAATTGCAGGAGAAATCTAACACAGTGTCTGTGCAACTGTTCTACCTTTCGGTAGCAAGGCCACTTGAAACGTGTTCTACAGTGTTAGGATGGCGAACTGAAAGGTGGAAAACCAACACATTGACCTGTTCCTCCCTCTCTCTCTCTCTCTCTCTCTCTCTCTCTCCCTCTCTCTCTCTCTCTCTCTCTCTCTCTCTCTCTCTCTCTCTCTCTCTCTCTCTCTAGTCTGCCTTTCACGCATGAGAGCAAAGAACGGACCGGTAGAAACCAACATCTGATTTGCAATTTTCCACCTTTCAGTATAGAAGAAGTGCTGCATGAAAGGTACAATTTCAACATCTGTTCTGAAAGGCAGCCATTGTTGGCTTGTTCCATGGTTGAGTAGAAGGAAACAACAGCAGGATAGAAATGCACTTATACTTGAATTCGGATTCATGTAGCGCACCAACATGAATTAGGTATAATTGTAAACATCCAGCATTTGCGGTTTACGCATTGCATGTTTGCTTGCAACTGAAAGGTAGAGATTGGCGGTCTTCGCCCGCTGTTTCTTTCGCTTGGCGCAGCCCCTCGCGCGCTTCCTCGCGTTTCAACCTTTTTGGAACTAAACTTCAGCCAGCTACATACAGATATTATATATGTGTATATACATACTACAAATGCGCGGGCGGGGGAAGTGATGATGCATGACTGATGGTTTTTACCGCAGCGGCGACGCTCCCTGTACAGATCAATGCGCTGCCCAGGGCGCAGGGTACGCAAGTTAACAAAGGGTGCACGTGCGCGCAAGGCCGCGCAATGGCCTTTTTTGCGTACACCGCAACGACACGGAGAACAAACACCTGCAGAACCCAAACAAACACCTGCAGCCGGCGCCTTGAAAAAGAAACACCTGCCAAGCAAAGAAACAACTGCGAAAAGGAACAACAACTGCAGTCGTTACAGTAACACCTGCAGACCAAATTGGGCTCTCCAGGTTCATCTTCAGGCCTAGGCTCGTCCTCGAGGCCAGAATCCTCGCCTTCCACCAGAACCGCAGATGTGTGAGAAGAGAGACTGGCAAACTCAGCCTCATCCGCGGAGGAGAGGGCCGCGGGTGCGGCCTGACTTCCTCAGCGCCCCCAAGCCAGTCGGCGCCCGTGGATGGAGAGCGTGCACTGGGGCCCGACGGCTCAATGACCACTTCTACGGAGGGCAAACTCGCTGAAGCTCCATGGTCCGCAGGGGAGGGCTCAGTGCACGCCGCGTCGCCTGACGGCGTAGCCGGAAGTGACGCTCGGCCTCCTCACCCGCACCGGCAGGCGCGTCAGGTGAGGGCAGGGTGGTGCCTGTGTGTGGCTCAGGCTCCTCAGCAGCGCCGGGAGCACTGTCGGCATCACGAGTGCTCGGGGCGGGTGGAGAGGAGAAAGGATCGTACTCAGGAGAGTTGGGGCCAAGCTCAGCCGAGGCAGCCCGTGGGACTGCACACGGCGGGTCGTCGGCCCCGGCTTCGGGAGAGGCAGCCGCAGCGTCCCGCTCCTTGGGGCGAGTAAGACTGGGCTCCGCACGAACAGGGGAAGCCGAGGACACCGGCGCAGGCGGCCCCGGGGGAAACGAGGAGGAGAGGCCCCGCTCAATATGCTCAGCAGCCACAGCGGCAGTGATGTCCCGCTGCGAGGGCAGGTCAAAGGCCGCTTTGAGGCAGGAGGGCGGCACACCGACCACATCCTCCCCACAGGGCGCCCGGAAAGGGACGCCGGCAGTAAGGAGAGTCTCCCCCGCGGCCACGTGGAGCTGCATGCCCATCTGCACGGCATGCAAGAGATCAAGCTCCAGAGCAACGTCGTGATGCTTGCGTGTTTCGGCAAACCCCGCTGTGGCCACGTCAAAGGTAGTGAAGTGCACATACGTGCGGCTGCCTTGTCCCCCCCCTGGAAGCAGACCACGGGAAAAGATGCCTGCAAGGCACATGCGATCCGTGACATGAAAAGGGCGGAGGTACTGAACAGCACCACCTTCAGCCCGGCAGTGGGGTCGAGCACTGTAGAGTGCCCGGCCAGAGCCCGCAGGCAAGCCCCGTATTTGGCCGAGCACATGACCTCAAACCCCTCCTTAGAAAGCTCGTTACTGTAGAAAGCGTACTGGGACAGGGTGTGCTCATCTAGCAAGGTCCCACCATCGCTTCCGAGCAGGCACGTAGCGAAGGGGCACCCAACCGTCAATGGTGCAAGGCACCGTCTTGCTGCGCCGGCAAAGATCAGAAAGGAGCTTGCTCACTCTGCGGTACACCCCAGGGTTGATGTACACAGGCGCACACAGGTGCGGAGGAAGCGCCACCAAATCCGCGATGGTGAGGACAGGACGCCCGCGGTCCTGAGGCGGCCGCACAAGGGGCGGGTAGGAGGCCGGAGCGGCCCCCATAGGCATCGCCTTGGACGTGGTGGCAGGCGGAGGCACGGAAGGCTTCCACAGCCGAGGCGGAACGGGAGCGCTAACCACACGGGCAGCACCCGCAGCGACAGGCCCAAGGATGGCAGAGGTAGGCGCACCGAAGAATACCATACCGGAAGTGGGAGTGAGACTCCCATCATCCGAGCAGGCAGGCTGCGCAGTGCTCCAAAGGTCCCCAAGCGGGTAGTGACCCTGATGGCCGGACAGAGCGAAATCCGCCCCCGCACCCTTGAAGAGGAGATTGTCATTGGCCCCGACCTGCTTGTAGCAGAAAAACTCGGCATGAAAGCCGGAGGCCGGCCGTAGGCCGCAGAGACGAAGGGTGAAGAAGATGGGAGTACCATCAGGCCGCTGGCGAACCATGCCAGGCGCAAGGCGCGCCGCCGGATGGCACAAGGCGAGGAGGCGCCTCCCACCCGCCACGAGATCATCGCGCATGCGGTCCATGGAGTACCGACCGAACATGCGCCCACACATGGCCTGCAACATGCCAAGGGGGCCCCAGTGAGAAGGGGGCGCAAGCACAATGGTGAGGGCCTTGCCCCGGGTGAAGGCCACGTTCGTGCGAGCCTCTGCCTCAAGGGACAGCCTCGCCAAGCGATCAAGGCCACGCTGGAAGTGCTCCGCTATGGCCTCCGCGTTGGCCCGGGCACGCTTGTTGGCTGCAGCCTCCGGAAGAACGCAATCATCACGCTCCAGCAGGAGGGAAAGGGCGAGCACATCAAGCAAATTGGTGGGCCAGGCCTCCCCTTCGAAACTGTGCCCCTGAAAGCGGCTGCTCAGGGAATCATGGGTCTTGTTGTGGGGGGTCATCAGCAGCAACTTGGGCTCATCCGCCGCACGACTGAGATGGCGTGCAAAGGCCAGTAGGAGAACATTCAGCAGTTCACCAATGGCAGCAAGCGAAGGCGGCGCCAAGTAGGTTGTGTCCACACTTTGCTTGCGGATCACGCAAGGGGTCCATTTAAGGGAGCGGTGCCCCGAGACCTGAGCCCTGCGAAGTGCACAGTGCGGGTAACCGTGACACCGGCGGCCTGTGGGCACCAGAAGCCCAGGCGGATGCGGCCCTCCACCGACTCACGGAGGTGTGGATACCAGACGGCCACACTAGTGAGGTAGGTGGGCTCAGGCACCCGCATGCTGCTGGGCAACACGAGGTTGAGGCCCGTCTGACGCGCAGTGGAAAGACCAGAAGCGGCCCGCTTGCGGTTGGCAGGCACAGGAAGCTCACCAGTAAGCTGTTGCAGGTACTGCAAGGCAGACGCAGAAACAGGCATGCCGGGACTCACAGAATCTGCCCCGCGGAACGACTAAAGGCCTGCGGCGGGATGGGCGAATGCAGGCCGCGCAGCCCCACGCGCTTGTAGGCCAGACGGTCAAGGGCCTCACTGCGGAGCTCATCATTGCCAGTGGCACCGCGGGTCTGGCGAGGATCGCCCAACTGGACGGTGAGACACCCCTCATTCAGGCAGGCGTTGATGGCCACATAGGCAGGCATGCCCGCTTGCTGGGCCTCATCCACAAAAAGCATGGGCCTCCTGGACAAAGCGGCTGACGCCGTGCTTGCGCCCGAGCTCATGGACCAAGGAGCCCATAGTGATGGCAAGGCACTCGACCCGATTGTTGTTCATGTGCCGGGCGCGGGTCTCAAAGCCGACGTCCTGAGCATGCGCGGGAAAGCAGCCCAGCACTCTTCACTGCCCTCTCGGAGGAGATTGCGCACATTGCGCGAGAACTCCTGCAAAGGGAGGATAGCATCGGCCACGAAGAGACACGAAATGTCGCAAAGGCGGCCAAGCAGGACGCAGACCGCACTAGCACAGAAGGTCTTGCCGGTACCGAAGAGCCCCTGGATGCCCATGGCCACACGACGCGTGGCAAGGCCGTGCAAAACAGCACAGAGAACGCCAAGGAAGTGCCCATCAGCTAAGCGCAGAACAGCGAGGAAAAAGCGAGGGCCGCAGTCCAAGAAGCGCTCCCAACTGGAATCCCAGGCCTCAGGGGCCGGCGGATCCAAGACCCACTCGTAGAACCGATTCTGCACCTTTTGCAAGCCCTCATGGGAGACATGCAAAGCCTGCGCACCAAGGTCAAGCGCCTGCACAACACGCCGTGCAGCTTCCTGAACGAAGCGAGCGTCCGGCAAGCGGCCCCGCGGGCCATCAGGGCAAGGCAGCCCCAGCACTTGCGGGACACGGTCGGCATGCAGATTAAGCACATGCTTGAAAAGGTGCACGCCATACGGCGCCGGCTGGACCGTGGACTGGTCCGGCACAAAGTTGCACGCGAACTCAGCAGGGCTGGGATCGGCAGTGTCCGACCGAGCAGGAGGCACCAGGTAGAAGCTCTTCACGTAGGCACCTCGATTGGAGCCCTCGAGCTCATTTGGGGCCTTGACGGCCGGGTCAAACACATAGCCCGCAATGAAGCGCATGCGGCCATCAAGGGGCACAGCAAGCCGCAGGATGCTCCCCTCCCGGCAAGTGGGAGGAGGGGCGTCGCTCCCCAAACCAGGGCGAGAGCAGCACGGCCCAAGGGCGTGTCGGCCCAGCCCGGAAGCGGGACCAACGGGGGGCGTCTGCGGCCACGCTGAACGGTGGGGAGTCCCCACCACCGGTTCATGCACACTTGCTGATCAAATGCGCGCCCCACAACACAGAACACGTCGCCGTAGTTCATGGCCTCGCGAGCATTGAGCCGACAATAGAACCACTCAATGAGGTTCAAGGCGACCGTGGGAACAGAAGGCACACCTCCATGGCCCGCGCAAGAGCCTCATGGTAGGCGGGCGCATCAGGCACGGCAGGACTGTAGGCGTCCCTGTCCAGAGTCTTGGCCGCCGTTAGCACAGCCGCCGCAGCATCAGGCGGGGCGGGAATAACACTGGATGCAGGCACCCGGGACCCAGCAGCCCGAGGCGAAGGCAGGGGAGCGAAGCAACCCTCAGCCGACACCGGGGGCTGCGGGGTCCGTGCACGCTTGGAACTTCGAGGGGGGGGGGCGTACGCTGCCTTCGTCCTCCCAACTGCCTCTCCGCTGGAACTGGATGAAAGGCCAGGTCCACCCGTGCGCCAGGTCCCAACTGCGCACAGACTGAACGTAGCCATCAGGGGCAGCGCCCCACTGCATCATTTCGCCCACACTGGCAACACCGTCACAGGGATGCACACCTGAACAGACTGGAGGCGGCCGGCCCGCATGTAATCCTCATAGGAGATGGACGGGCCATAGCTCGCTTTTTTGCCCAAATTCACGGGCAGGCTTAGGGGCCTAGGTCCTAAGTGTTAAGGCTCAGTAGAAGGCTGTCCCTTGGTCACCAGGTAGACGTGGTCTACACAGGTGCCTTGGGAGAAGCCGTGAGTGGTCCCTTAAGCCGAATGCCTGCGGTTCCAATACTGATGCAAAGTGGCCCGCGTAATCATCCCAGAAGGGGGGGGCCGAACAGGTCGAACAGTATTGTCAGTGACAGCTGGAGGCAAAAGATCACTATGACGCTCAGCAGAATGGAAAGTGCTTGACTCGAAGTGAGCTTGCAACAATGAAATCTTAAGCAGCACAACAGGTGGAGGGGAAATCCCTAAAGAATGTGCGGCAACCCGACTGCAATGCTCAAGCAAAGAAGAGTGTGGCTGCGGCGCAACATATATGCCATCATGAATGAAAACACATGACCGCACTGGGGCGCATTCAAGCAGCTCGCTGACAAAACGGCGCATAAACCGCACCTCCACCGCTTCCAGCAAATAGTAGACCAAATTCCGCGGACCAACCCGGTAGTGCTCGCGTGTGATGGAAAATTGACGGCACGCAGCTAAAAAATCTCCGCGGGCGCCCGAAATGCGTTCAAGCAGGCATCGCAAGTCGTAATCAGGGAAAAAGCCGGCCTGCTCCATATGCTGAACTGCAACACCGACACTGCTGTTAAGTAACACGCGCGGAACCGACTTGACGAGATGCAACAGGTGGCGTCCTCTGGGACAGCGCAACAAACATTGGGAAAAGTAGGCGCGCAATGTATGAAGGTCGGGTAACACGGTGCGCCCCTGCGTGCTGACAAGGTGCTGGCAGAGAACATAGTGTGCGCCACACATGTTCACTATTTTTCTCACATCTGAAAAACGCCTGCGCGGGTAGCACATATTGGGCTCATGTCTTTCAAGCCAGGTGAAAACTGCACATGTAAAACACACATACACTGGCAACTACATCTGCACACATGTACGCAGGTTAAAGGTAGCGAAAGTGTTATCACCCCGCCTTGGATTTCCACATCTTTGTGGCAATCCACATTTATCTCAAAGCTGCCTGATTTCAGGTCTCAAGCCAGGAAAACATGCGCTGCTGGCACGTCTTCGACTTCAAAAAACAAGACAGAGCCCACGAACCCGAATGCACATCACTTTCTCCTACATTAAACCAACAAGCTGCTAAAATCACGACGACTATCTACATTGTCCACACACAATTCAATCAAACGCTATGCCCGGCACGGCTCGCGTGCCGGAAAACATGTTGCGTGTTTTCACTTCTCTTCTCTTCTTTTCTGATCTCTTCTCTTCTTCTCTTCTCTTCTCTGATCTTCACTTCTTTTCTCTTCTCTTCTCTCTTCTCTCTTCTCTCTTCTCTCTGCTATCTTCTCTCTTCT